CTACGTTCTTTATCATGGCCTCGAGGTCCTTTTGTGCCAGGCTTCTGCCCACATTTCCACCACCTTCTCTTTCTCCCACTGAACTCTAGATGTATCATGGCCGTCTTCCTGTCTGTGGAATGATACCGAGCTCAGCTCTGCAGCAGCCCACTGTCCCCAGATTGTTCCACACCAGTTCCTTCTCACCCTCCAGGTCTCAGTTTCAACCAACCAATCAATTCATTGCAATTAATTGCTAAGTCAGTTGTTTTTTGAAACGATGGCACACTATAGCATAGGCGGACCTGAAAGATACTATGTTGGGCTGGAGAGATGGCTCAGTGGTTAAGAGCACTGACTGCTCTTCCAGAGGTCCTGAGTTCAATTCCCAGCCACCACATGGTGGCTCACAACCATCTGTCATGGGATTCCTGATGCCCTCTTCTGGTGTGTCTGAAGACAGCTACAGTGTACTCACATACATAAAATAAATAATTTTAAAAAGATACTATGTAATCTAGGTTGGCTTCAAACTGGCTGTGAGTCTCCTACCTTGACTTTCTGAGTGATGGAATTACAACGCCATCATGTCTGGCTTCCAGTCTCAGTTTAAAGGTTTGATCCCTTAAGATATTTTACTCATCATTCTCTAGGCAAACATGCAGTAGTTATTCACCGTTTTATTATCCCTGGGTGCTTTCTTACTTGTGGATACATTTTAGTCTTGTCTCTTGACCCCTAGAGTACTAGGTTCTTAAGGACAGGAACTTTGTTGAGCTAGTTTGTCACTTTTCCTGAGAAGGTAACTAAGAGAGGACAAAGTTAAGTTGACACTCAAACTAAGAATGAATTGGGAGTTCTTGTTCATGGTCGGCTCTGTGAAGATGTAGATGAAGATGAATATTTCCTTCCCAGCCGTCAGAAACTCCTTGAAGTGGACGGTGAGCGCAGACAAAGTTCATAGTCTCTGTGAGAAGCCTATGGTCACAGAGGTGACTGTTGATGCTCTGGGTGAAGAGAGGAAAGGTTCTGTGGTCCAAATCAGTGGTGGGAATGACAAAGTTTTTTCATGAAACAAGGTGTCTGATCCAGGACAGCAAAGTGCACCTGCTGTTAAGTGGCATTCATTATTTATTTTCTCCTCCTCCTCCCCCTCCTCCTCTTCCCCCTCCTCCTCTTCTTCCTCCTCTTCCTTTTCCCCCCTCCTCCTTCTCTTCTCCCCTCCTCCTCCCCCTCCTCCTCCTCCTCTTTCTTTTTTTGTTAGTTTTTTTGGGGAAGGGTTTCTCTGTGTAGATCTGGCTGTCCTGGATCTAACTCTGCAGACCAGGCTAGCCTCAAACTCAGAGATCCACCTGCCTCACTACTTCCCGAGTGCTGGGATCAAAGGTGTAAGCCACCCCTGCCTGGCAAGTAAGGGGAATTCTTGTTATGGACCAAAGAGAACTAGAAGGAGGAAGCAGAAGTCTATCCAAGATGCACTGTGAGTGCCAATCTTGGTATTCTCATCTTGGCTATTAGAAAAAAGAGAAAGATACCCCTGGACTGACAGAGACTACTGTGCCTTGGCAGCCGTGGCCCAAAAGAGGGATCAGAATCCAGAAGCTTTTCCATCTCTCTACAGATGTCCACAGATACATTGTTAGAAGCTCTTTTTTTTTTTAAAGATTTATTTATTTATTATATATGAGTACACTGTAGTTGTCTTCAGACACACCAGAAGAGGGCATCAGATCTCATTACAGATGGTTGTGAGCCACCATGTGGTTGCTGGGATTTGAACTCAGAACCTCTGGAAGTGCAGTCAGTGCTTTTAACCACTGAGCCATCTCTCCAGCCCTTGTTAGAAGCTCTTAAACAAAGGTGAGAACCAATGCATCAGTGATTGAACATCTTATCACACATGTCCTGCAACACATTGCCCTGCTGACACATTGCTCTGAGGAAACCGAGCACCAAGGATAATGAGGAGGTTGCAAAATATGCTAAACATTTGGCCAAGAGAATGAGGGACACCAAAGACAACTACCAGGAACAGATTACCAGGAGATATAAACTCTGATACTTCTGGGTCTGATTTCAATCAAAAATAGTGTTTAAGAGTACCATTAAACTGGGCGTCGTGACGCAGACATTGAATCCCAGCACTGGGGAGGCAGAGGCAGGCAGCTCTCCATGAATATGAGGCTAGCCTGGTCTCTGTAGTGAGTTCTAGGACAGTCAATGCCACATAGAGAGATTCTGTTTCAAAAAACTCAAAACCAAACCAACCAACAAAAACAAACAAACAAAACAAAACAAAAGCCTACAAAAGAAGTAACAAATAAAACCAGACATTGAGTTATCGGAAATAAACAAGAATAAATGGGAAGACAAAGAGATGGCTCCGTGTTTGCTGCTCTCATAGAGGACTGTAACTTTAATTTTTTTTAAAAGAGTTACTTTTAATGATGGTTCTTAAATGCTTGAACCTCCCTTCTAGCCCACCACCCACCAGAGGTAGCAGAAGAAAGGATATGGGGGAAGTGGACCTGTTTAGAAATGGTTCTTTGGAGCAAATCTCATCTGTGTTGTCAGGAAATCAGTTTTGTTCACAGGAGTCAGCAGCGGAAGTTCAATCCACTCACAATAGTTCATGGCTATACCAGCAGTCCAGTGCGGTAGAGTCAGGACACTGGTGATACTACCTAGCAGGAGCACCCAGGCCTCAGCTGAGTCGGCACGAGTCAGCAGGAAGAGTAGGATCATCAGGAGCACCAGAGTTCTCGGCTGTGCCTAAATCGACAAGGCAGAGATCAACAAAGACGCAAGACCAAGAACTGTTGCAGAGCTAGCTCTACAAGCAAGCTCTACAAGCAAGCCCCTCTCACGGGCCATTTATGCTCCCTCTAAGCATCACGTGTCCTCCACAGGGCTTGCCTCAGTGTGTGAGTTTGTCTTAGCAAAACTCCACGAGTCAGTATCCGCGGGCATCACTCTGCCAATGGGCCCGAGTCTGTGGAAGCGGAAAGAAGCCGCAGTATGCCACCTGAAGTTTTTTGGTGCAGGTCTGTCTATCGAGTCCCAACAAACGCATGAAAGGTGGACCAACACAAGTGTGTCATTAGCGAAGAATCCTTCATCATGTGTCCTTTCACACGCTTGCCTTAGCAAAACGTCCTTTCGCCTGTGTCCTATTCAGGAAAACACTCCTTCATGCCTTCGTGTGTTTGCCCCAGCAAAATACCATCCAATACAACTGACTTTCCAAAGAACCCTTATGTTTCCACTCCAGCTCTGGAGAATGGATGCCTTTCTTTGACCTCCACAGACACTAGCAACATAAACACACAAAATAAACCCTTTTTAAAAAATTTGTTTGTTTGTTTTTTGTTGTTTTGTTTTATGGTTTTCGGGTATTTTTGTTGGTTGGTTGGTTGGTTTTTTGAGACAAGATCCCTCTGTGTAGCCCTGGGTGTCCTGGAACACTCTGTAGACCAGACTGGCCTTAAACTCATAGATCTGCTGATGTTAAAGGCATGTATCACCACTGCCTGGCTACAAAATAAATCTTAACAAAAAGAATAAATGATTCCACTAATATTTTTTGAAAGAATTAGGTATTGAAGTAGGGCTTTGGGATAGGGTGGAAGTGTTCCATCAGCTGATCAATAAACCCAGCCTAACAAATACTTCATTTCTTTCCATGCTAGACAGTTTCTCTCTGCAGTCCTGCCTGGGCTGCGACTCACTGAGAGACAAAGTGGGCCCTAAATTTGCATCAGTCCTCCCTCTTCTGCCTCCTGAATGCTGGAATTACAAGCACGAGCTGCCATGTCTGGCTGAGCAACTCTTTATTTGAATTTATTTAATGTGTTTGGGTGTTTTATCCACATGTGTGCCTGTGCAGTGTATGTATGCCTGGTGCCCACAGAGGCCAGAGGGCTTCAGATTCCCCTGGAACTGGAGTGACAGTTTTGAGCCGCCATGTGCTTTGATAGGACTTAAACCCCGGGTCCTCTGGAAGAGCACACATTGCTCTTATCCACTGAGCCATCTCTCCAAACTATGACTATCACTCTAAATTTTTTTTAAATAGTTAAAGGATATTTTGATTCCAAAGATGTAAAAGAGCATCTCACCTACTTTGTGGGTGTGTGATTTGAAATTCTGTAGTATGTGTTTCTTCAAAGCTTAAAAAGATTAGTTCTTTTTTTTTTTTTTTCAGTCAGTGATTTGCTAAGCTACCCAGACTGGCTTTGAATTTGTGACCCTCTTGCCTCAGCCTCCGGAGTGCTAAGATTACAAGTGCGTACCCCTCAGTTCCAGTAATTAACTGCCCCGCCCCCACTCCCATTACTTGGGCACTGGAAGATGCAACCAGAAACTCTTGAGCCCTGATTCTGGTCCTAGAGCCAGAAGTCACAAAGGTGCAGGTAAGAACCCCAGGCCGAGGGCAGGCTCTGGAGCACAGACGCCTTCTCCTCATACCTTCCCTGTGTTCATTAGAGCCATCCCCATGCTTCAGGAATTCCCACAGATGGATTGCTCTGTGGAGCTTACAGTGGTTCTTTGCCTATAAATATTCCTCTTTAAAATTCCCTGCAGGGCACTGACCCTCAAGCCTAAGTCAGTTCTTCCCCTGTGATTGTACTTTTCAACTCTGGGCTTCAAAATTTCCTCTCATTAAATCAGCAAGCACTTTCCAAGTAAAAAGAGATGCCCAAGATGCTTATGCCTTCCTGTGTGGTATGTATGTGTGTGTGAGTGTGTGTGTGTGCCTGTGTATGCATGTGACTCAAGCTTCTGTCTTGCCTTGAGGGTAACCTCAGCATTTCCTTCCAGCCCTGCTTTCCCCGAGCCGAGGTTGGCAGCATTTTGAAAATGTTTTCTGGAGAAAAGCTGAGCAACGGTTTTGCCATGGGCGGGCCTTTGATCTTCTTCCCCTCGGCAGCCCTTTATATATTGCCTGGTGGCCATGGCGAACACATCAGGCTCCAGAGGCCACCAGCAAAGCAGGCCTTACTCATTCTCTTACCATCACCATGATCTTCCACACAGGTACCACTGGCTCTGCAGCTCACCATGGCTTCAACTCCATGGCTCTTATTAGGGGAAGGGGACAGGAATGGTTGCCCCCCAGTGGATGCTGGCTGGCGGCTGGTGTAACTGAAGCTGGGGTGGGCAGGGGCATCTGACCCATAAGCTTCATGGGATCCTTCTCTTTCTCCAGGACCAACAAAGCTTGCCCTGGTGCTGCTCTGCTGTATAGCACCCTGGTTGGCCATCTGCAGGCCGCCCTTTGGTGAACTAACACGAGGCAAGATAACCCTCATACTTAAACTCTTGGAACATGAGTCTAAGGTTCTTTATGAAAACTATGTAAGTGCCTCTGAGATTGTTTTTTCTAAACCATTTCTTTAAAATGTCTTTTTTTTTGCTCTCTAGCACAGCTATTCTTTCTCGATATGAAACCAGCTATGGAAGCCAAAGAGTCATGGGGACAAATCAGAATTTGGTTGGGGTGGAATGTTCACCAGGGGGTAAATGCACTAGCAGAAGAGACAGAAGCAGGCTAGCTCAGGGACCCAAGCCTCAGCAGCTGCCCAAACACTATAGGATGTGTGCTCACAGCAGTCTTTATCTCAAACCTGTCTGGCTCATAGTCCTACTAAATGCAAATTCTTGCTGGAAGTGCATCCTTCCAGAGATGGGCCAGCTTGATTTAGGAATCCCCTGAAAGCGATGGGAACCAGTCTAAGCAGCAAAAAGATGTCCTAGTGGAAGCAGGGTTGAAAATCTTCCTTTGGGTCTCTGATACCTCTGCAGTTGACTGACTAGGCAACTGTCTATGTGCTATGGCCCCTGCCTTGCCAGATCCTGGCACAGGTATAGCACAAGACCCAGAAAGTGTGAATACTTCATTTCCTCAGGACCTCTTCAGTTAAACAAGTAACAGTGAAACTGGAAGCGACAGTGGTGTTAACATTGTCCTTGTCATCTGCTTGGGCATTTAAGCTTTGGCTTTGGCTGTAATAGACTTAAAGGTAGATGCACTGAGCCAGCAAGGCTGATGTGGTCTTAACAATTTGGTCTTACCCTAAAACTGTCAGTTTGGAGGAGGAAGAAGGGTAAGGAAGGACCTTGAGTCCTTCAGTTTCTTAAGAAACTCTCCCTAGCCTCTCAGAGGCCTTTCCAGGCCAGCACAGACCACCCTTTATCAGCACATGGTGCCAGGGGCATTCATACGGAGACATGAAAAGAGGGAAGCTTCATGGAAACACAGATAAGGACCCTTTCCCACTTACCTCAGTCACTGAGCCTCCGAGAACAGGTTGCAGAAGGCTGGGGGTAGCCTCAGTCAGATGGGCAAAGGGGCAGGAGGGAAGAGTGGGTAGGAGCGCCCTTAAGAGTCATGGTTGACCTCGGTGGGTATGCCATGTCTTCTCGCTTATAAGCCAACTACGCCTTCGACTCCTGTAGACACAGGGTTAGGGATGGCTCAAGCTTCACAAGGCTATTATACCAATTGGGTAAGGTCTGAGGCAGGCTAGACACAGAGGAAGAACTGGGAAGGAGCTGTTCAGATCTGTAGGGGTTATTACAAACCTCTTCTTCTTTCTACAGAGCAGAGGGCCGGCATATAATATATCAGTGAACGAGTCACTACAGCTGCCCTGTTTCAGCCTGGGCCAGGAAGCATTAACCAACACCTTGAGCCAGGAAGCAATAACCAGCATCTCGGTTATCAAAGCACATCTGGAGAAAGTCAAAGAATTGAGTGAGAACACAGTAGATACTACTAAGGTCACGAAACGGCTAGAGGACATCAGCAACTGCGGCCCTCCGAATGTGGACATTTCTGGGCCTGAAAAAAATGCCTATGCTCAAAAAGTGTTCATGCTTACTGTTTTAAAGCGGTTCTCAGACTGCATGGCAGAACTGCAGGCTACGGCACAGCAATGGAGGGAGGAGCCCAGTGTCCTCAACAATACCTGTCCTGAAGGGCTGAGCTCGAGTAAGGTTTAACTCCAAAGAGACTGTGCCGTCGTTACTAATCTTGTTATTTATATATCTTTATTATGTCCACTTAAGTCTTGTTTTTCTACCCTATAGGGGCTGGAAGTGGCAGCTATATTTATTTATTGGTATTTATGTACTGAGTTTGTTAACGCTCCATGGAGGAGCCCTCAGAGTCTATTTAATAAATTATACTGACATGATTTCATCATCGGTTTTGGAGTTTATGATGGGGTTGAAATCAGAAGACAGGGGACTGGTGAGATGGTTCAGTGATTAAGAACACTGACTGTTTTTCTGGAGGTCATGAGTTCAAATCCCAGCAACCACATGGTGGCTCACAACCATCCGTAATGAGATCTGATGCCTTCTTATGGGGTGTCTGAAGACAGTAACAATGTCCTTACGTAAAATAAATAAATAAATAAATAAATAAATAAATAAATACCTTTGGTCTGGAGTGAGCAGGGCCGGAGCAAGCTGGAGAAGGGGAGGGGTTGGGGGAGGAGGTCCAGGGCCTTGGTAATTGTTCTCACATGACTCTGGGACCATCTCTATTTTAAAAAGAAGAAAAGAAAAGAAAAGAAAAGAAATTAGAGGATAGGAATGTTCTGGAAATAGTGTTTATGTTGCTGCCTCCTCCCTCCACTCACGAACAAATAATCCCAGCAGCGTCACGTGTCTGATAAACAGCTTTGCTCCAGGTCATAAGTCTGATCATTGTCCTTTTGGTATGTAGTCTGGGAAACTAAGGAAAGAAGTCATTTAGTCACTTACTCAAGGTTACACAGCTGCTTGGTGATATACCCAGATTCCAGCTTGTACTGCATTATTCTGCCCAACGTCAGTCCTTCCCTGGGCAGTGACTGAGTCTCAGGGGCATTTGGTGTGCTGCCTGGTACAGGGCAGTAACTCAGTGTCCACTGCACAATTCCCATTGCATTCCCAGGTCACCTGTTCGACCAATTCTATAGGGACATCTTCACAGAAGACATAAAGGTTTGCTGTTTGAGTAGTAGCAAGTCCTTGAGCAGTAGTAAGGAAGGTCTTCAGTGGGCGTCTGGATGGAAGGGGTCTCAAAGGTATCAGGGAACCTTCAGCAGCAATATCATGCTGGAAACACAAAACCTTGATCCCACCTGCTCACTGGCAAGGTCTAAGCATGGGTCTGGCAGCTTAGTTTTGTTTATCAAAACACGGGGAATCGAACCCAGGGCCTTGAGCATGTTAGGATTTGAGCATGAGATAAGCCATCAGCCCAGTAGTCACGGTTTTGAAGTCTCCTGAGCGTTCATTTTCACACTTGTTCCTGCCAAGAACCATGAATCTTAGCTGGGCGGTAGTGGCACATGCCTTTAATCCCAGCACTTGGGAGGCAGAGGCAGGCCGATTTCTGAGTTCGAGGCCAGCCTGGTCTACAGAGTGAGTTCCAGGACAGCCTGGGCTATACAGAGAAACCCTGTCTCAAAAAACCAAAAAAAAAAAAAAAAGTACTGGTTGATTAGTGTTTTTTGTTTTTGTTTTTTTTTCTTTCTTTTTTTTTGTTTTGGTTTTTCGAGACAGGGTTTCTTTCTGTGCAGCCCTGGCTGTCCTGGAACTCACTCTGTAGACTAGGCTGGCCTCGAACTCAGAAATCTGCCTGCCTCTGCCTCCCAAGTGCTGGGATTAAAGGCGTGTGCCACCACTGCCCGGCTTCAACCAGTACTTTCATTGTTTAGAAAAACTAAAGTCCAAAGCAAGCAAAGATGTCATGAGCCCAAGAGCACAGAAGGGGAGATGTGGTCGGGGGTCTAAGCTATGGAGCTCGGACTCAGGCTTCCCATTCTTGCTCTAGTGGGTTTCTCTATTCTGATCTCATACCAGGCTCATCCATGGTCAAGCACACTCAGAGCAGTACAGCTGCAGGCTCATAGCAGGCTTTGGAATCCCCAGACACTCTGTCTTCCATGGCAATGTTTGGCTATCCTTGCCCTTTGAGGCAGTCCATCACTATTTTACATTGTCTTAAGACACTTTCGTTATTAGAAAAGTCATCCAAAACTGAAAAGTAAAGACAAAACATAACTCTATGTCTTTTCAAAGGGGGAAAAAAAAAGCAGACATGAGATCACCAGGAAAGAAATGACTTACCAGAGAAATAGTGGAGGCAGACAAATGTTCTTTAGAGAATTCTAATTAAACATATAAAGTCTTGGAGGCTGGAGAGATGGCTCAGCGGTTAAGGACACTGTCTGCTCTTCCAGAGGTCCTGAGTTCAGTTCCCAGTAACCACATGGTTGCTCACAACCATCTGGAATGGGATCTGATGCCCTCTTCTGGTGTGTCTGAAGACAGCTACAGTGTACTCACATACATAAAATAAATAAATATTAAAAAAATAAAGTCTTGCCGGGCAGTGGTGGCACACGCCTTTAATCCCAGCACTTGGGAGGCAGAGACAGGTGGATTTCTGAGTTCGAGAGTTCGAGGCTAGCCTGGTCTACAGAGTGAGTTCCAGGACAGCCAGGGCTACACAGAGAAACCCTGTCTCGAAAAACCAAAAAAAAAAAAAGTCTTGGAAAACATATATATATATATGTACACGTACATGTTATATATGAATGTAAGTATATATATTATCTATATGTATATATTTTATATAAGCATACATACATATAATACATACATATACACATACATATACATATATAAAGAAAACAGGAATGGGGAAACAGAAAATCACCATACTGCTGCAGTGATCCCCAGGAAAATATGAAATTAGAGGAAGCTGGGATGGCTTCATGTACCTTCCTGGTAATGAGTGATTCTGGTGATGGTTTCCAAAAATGTCCAGAAACTCTTGGTTATACCTCCTTATGGAAGGCAGGACAAATCTGAGGATTCTTTTTTTTTTTTTAGGTTTTTTTTTTTTTTTTTAAGGTTTTTTTGAGACAGGGTTTCTCTTGTAGCCCTGGCTGTCCTGGAACTCACTCTGTAGACCAAGCTGTCCTCGAACTCATTTTTTTTTTTTTAAGGAATTACTACTAGCCTTGACACCTATGAAGTGGTTTTCTTCAGTGCACTGAAATCCTGCATCATTGTTGGGTATAAGGACACATATTCTACCTGGTGGGCTGGTGAGTATTATCTTGGATGGCCTGAAGTCAACGTTTAGACCGGACTAGTGTTGAACTCATAGCGATCTACCTGGCCTGGCCTCCTGGTTTACAGGTGTGTGGCACCATGCCTGGCTCTTTGCTTTGGGATAAGGTCCTACTCAGCTATGTAGCCCTGACTGGCCCAGGAGCTCGTGATTCTCCTTCTCCAATGGCTTCCTCAATACTGGGTGATAGGCAAGTGCCACGTGCTTGACTTATGTCGTTTGTTTTTGTGCTGGGATCAAGCTGGAATCTTTCCCCTGCTGTGCTCATGATGATATCACTGGAAGCCACATCCAGCCTCTGGGGATATTTTAAAAATTCAGTTCCTCAGCTGTACTGAGCACAGTCCAAGTGGCTTGATGGCCACGTTCTCCATTCCCATCAGCACAGCAGGTTCGATGGAACAGCCCCGCTCTTGGAGGATTGCATTTGACTGACATACTATCTACTTCCAGTTGAGTCCTGGAGACAAGAACCAGACCGATTTCTATTGGGCGGAGAAGCTGGTTCCAAAGGTCAGGTAAAGAGGCCAGGCAGGTGCCACACTTGAGCCGTTTGCTTGAGTTTCTGTCACTGATGTGTGTGATCTAGCTTTGGATCAGCCGTGTGCTGAGAATGTCCCTGCTCTGCTTGAGGACTGTTTTTGACAATAGAGATGTGTGTTCGGTGGCAAGTAGACCATGCTACCTGGAAATGTGAAGCCTTCTCAGTAATCACGACAACAGGGGGTCAGACTTTGAATAAGGAACCAGTGACGCAAAACAGCACAGATGGTGGGAAATTAATCCTCACAGGAAGAAATGAGGACCACAGGGTAGCCAATTACTCAGGAACAGGAAGGCTAAGGTCTCAGTAGTTGCACAGTGCCCCAGATTTTGGCAGTGACAAGCAATGAGCTCACAGTGATTTTGCAGGCCACTGTCTGTCCCTACCTAGCATCCGTAACTTCCTGCTCCACTGGAATCAGCGCGAAGAGGGACTGAGCTAGGGTCTCTCAGCATGTCTCCAGTCACTGAAAGGCCACAGTTCCAGAGATGACTCAGCCCCAGGTTGGGGGACTCCACAGAAGTTTTCCAATTAACCCTACATTGCTGGGCTGGGAGACAGCTCATTGGGTAAAGTGTTTGCTGTGTAAGCAAGAAGACCCAGAACCCATCCATGTAAAGCCAGACGTGGTAGGTGCATATCTGTAATTCCAATGTACCTATGATGAGACCAGGAAACGAAATAGGAAAAAAAGTCCCTGGACAATCACAGGCCACCTAGCCTGGCACAGATCGTGGTGAACAAGAGACCCTGTCTCAGATGATGTAGAAGGCTAATATTAACATCTGGGGTTGTCCTCTGGTCACCATACACACGCATGCATACACACACACACACACACACACACACACACACACACACACCATACAGAGATACATTAAAAAAATCTACTTAGTTGCTCTCGCAGGGATGAGACATCTTGTGACATTTCTGATTCTCTTCCTTAATTCCCCATTTGACTGGACAGTTTCTCCAGTGAAGAGGTAAACTGCAAAATAAATTCTACCTTGTTGGGCTCAGGAGATGGTTGGGTCAGCAGGTAAAGCACCTGTCACCCAAGTCTGAAGACCTGAGGTTGATTCCCGGAACTCAGGTCAAAGCCAGATACAGTGGCACACATCTGTAATCCCGGCATTCCTATGGTAAGATAGGAGGCAGAGATAGGAGAATCACACCAAAGATCATGCGTCAGCATACATCGTGCTGCATAGCAGCAATAAGAGAGACTTGTCTCAAACACAAGGTGGAAGGCAAGAACTGACCTGTGGAAGTTGCCCTCTGATTTTCATACAAGGGTTGTAGTATGCATGTGCCTGCGTTTAC